GAAATATCCTGTCCAAGAGAAACGTAGCATCTGTGCACATAATAATGAGGTTTTCTGTTTCTCCTTCATTTGCCTTTAACAGTGACCAAGGGTATGGGATGTGTGGTAGGACCTCTTCGTAGCAGCTCCTTGACATTTCCACATGTAATGTATCATTACGAGTTATTACCATATTCCCGGTTAATTGGAAATAACCAGGAAGATGTTCAGCCCCAAGGTACCAGCTAATATCTCCAGTGCTAAACAAGTATCCAAAAAATGTGTCTAGCAGCTGCTTGCCAAATGCATCTGTAAATTCAAAAGCAAATAATCTGAATCAAAATAATTAGGCAAATGAATGGAAGAAAAATCTGCTTAGGGCTATTAAACACAGAGATAAGTCTTTTGATTCAGAAGTATTCTGAGCCATGCCTTTTTAGCTCAGGGCTGGGACGGTGCTGGGGAAGCCTTTACCCCTTCTTACATTCGCCCTGGCTGGGCAGCGATGGGTGCCTGTGGCAGAGCACAGAGCACGTTGTTAGATATTCAATTAACCCACCCGCCTGTGAGTGCTGGGCTGGCTCTGCTTTCCTCTTCAGCTGAGACCTGTAAGCTCCCATGGAAGACAAAGTCTGTCAGCATGACTCTGCAATGCAGGGATAGCAAAGGAGGGCAAGAGCTGACTCTCCAAGTGGGCAAAAGCCCGTACCCATAAGCAATATTATTTGGATAGGAATCCACGTTATATAGTAAATCAAGTGAATTAAACACAGGGTCCTTCTGATGAATCTTTTAACTTCAAGCATATGCACTGCAGCTCAGTAGCAATTTAGCACGATGCTCAGACTGCGATAACCAGCTTGGTATTCAAGTCTTAAAGAGAATTTAGGACAGAAAAATTTATTTGACAAAGAAGAGCTTAGGAAGTAGTAGCAATAACGGGTGCCTTTCCGACCTATCAAATAGAGATAAAAATAATACAAATAGTGGCAGTCAATGAGGATCAATTTTTTCAGTCTTCTACATGCTAATACAAACTAACACAGCTGTATTTTAAAAGCAACAAGAAAGTCTACGTAGCAAAATACAGCCAGGGAGTACCTGTGTAGTGTGCTAAGTCATTTTTAAGCAGTATTTGAAGGAAAAAGAGGTAACTCCTAATCTGCTTATCCAGTGGCACCTGAGTGTAGATGTAAGCATGCCGAAGCTACGGAGATCCCTGGGGTTATGACAGTAAGAAGGGGACATATTATGTCCTGAAAGAACGTAATATTCAAAAATGGTTTACTTTAAGTCTACTGGGGAAAAAATAAATTAAATAGGTAAATAGGTGAAAGGAAGTTTAGTGACTGGTAGGCTAAAGAAAAAGTTGACTTTATAAATGGTAAAAAATTGAAGTTCCCAATGCTGTTCTGGACTCTGCTATTTGTTGCAGATAAGCAGACCTCAGCTAAAGGAACTGAGCTGTCCGTGGATAGACTTGCCTGCTCACTGCAAGTTTGCTGCAGGATTAGACTCATCATTTGAATTTCCAGATCTTCCACAGTACTGTGTTCAGAATGTGTGAAAGCAAATTTAACTGATTGAATAGGAGAAAGCCTTTTTATAGCACTGACTTCTATGGACAAAAAGGGGGTTGCGATGCATTTGTTATGATATTACACATGTAGAACAAAATTCCCTCAGCCTTTACTGAGCTTTGGATCAGGTCCTTGCTGCAAAAAAGAAGCCAGATTATCACACAAATACAACATTTAATCTCCAGATATTCTGCTTCAAACAGTGTAATTGAGTTCAATAGCTCCATGTTTATTATTATGGCCTATGCCTAGACATTAGCATAACGAAAAACATGGGGGGAAATGTCATACATACTCCCACACACCTATGCAAATATAATTATAATTGCTCTCTGTATTTCACAGTAGACCTTTTATGGGAATCATTATGCCTATTCTGCCTAAAAAAAAATATCTGTTATGTAAAAACTGTTTGAAATAGAACTTTGTTTTATTTAGCATTAAACAAACATGTCCAGCCAGGACTGTTGGTACTACCTTGCCTATGCATACATACATGTGTATACATTTATGTGTATCACACAACAAAGCTTACCTGCTAAACACAAACCTATACTTCAGCTACGTGAAAACTGTTCTCACGAATCAGCATCCACTTGTTGCACCTCCCCTGAAAGGACCAAATCTCTCTTAAATGTACTGCCTCATGAGCATCCCTTCACACAACAGGCCTTTGCACAGCATCGCGAATTCGTGGAGGAAATGAACTCATTCCATCCTCTCGCTATATCTGCATGAAGCCTTGCACAATGGGGCTGTGATTTATTTGGGGCCGCTGGGTATGGCTGCCAGGCAAGTAGTAACTAATAACAACAGACCACCAGAGAATGCTGAGATGCATTGGCTGTAAGGAAAAATAAAACCTGGTCCGTAATAAGGACATTCTATGTCTGGTTGTATGTATAAATATAGTTAAAATGATAGGGCTTGATGAAAATCTTAAGGGCACCTCCTCAATCTCAAAGGGACTTTTTAGACAGTGGTAAAATTATTCTGTGATTTGTGGAAAAATGAGCAAGAGTTAAGATTTTGACTAAAGATAACTCATTGAAATCTGTCTATGAACTGCTGTCTTCTCTTTTCTTCCTTTCCTTTCTTTTTTCTTTTTTTTCTTTTTCTTTCTCTTTTTCTTTTCCTTTTCCTTTTCCTTTTCCTTTTCCTTTTTCTTTTTCTTTTTCTTTTTCTTTTTCTTTTTCTTTTTCTTTTTCTTTTTCTTTTTCTTTTTCTTTTTCTTTTTCTTTTTCTTTTTCTTTTTCTTTTTCTTTTTCTTTTTCTTTTTCTTTTTCTTCCTTTTCTTCTCTTTTCTTTCCCCTTTTTTTCCTTTCTTTTCCTTTTCTTCCTTTCCTTTCCTTTCCTTTCCTTTCCTTTCCTTTCCTTTCCTTTCCTTTCCTTTCTTTTCCTTTCCTTTTCTTCTTTCTCTTATTTCCCCTTCCTTTCCCTTCCTTTCCCTTCCTTTCTCTTCTTTTTACTCCCCTTCTTTTCTTGTCTCTCCTGAATTTCCTATTTATGATGATTAGGCCCCAGCACTAGATCCTTTGCTCTGTTACACCGCCTTGGACAAAGACTGGCTCCCATGGGGCGAGGGCTGTTATTCCTCCAGCGGGAGCAGGATGAGGCTCGAGGGGCTGTGCAGCCCCAGTAAGGGCGCCATGCTCCGCTTTTACCCGCTAGTACCATCTGTGGAAAAACGCAGGGCTCCCCCAGCCTGCTTCAGGTGGGTAAAATTCCCAGGCAGCGGCCCAGGCAGGCGGAGGACGAGGCGGAGAGAAGCACGCCTGATGGATACTCCGGCGTTTGTGTGAAAAATTCTCAGGGAAAATTCTTTCTCTCTCTCAGGCCCCTAAACTCTTTGTGAATGGGGCCAGTGCAACATGTGGCCTTTCACCTCGCCCAAGAACCACTGCCAGACAGCCACACTCAGAGAATTGTTTGTTAATAGTCCAATTAGATAATTGCCATCTTTCACTCCTTTTGCTCTACATTTCCCATAAAGGAATGAATAAGGAGAGCAGCATGAAGAGGGCTTCTGCCCTGCAAGGTGACAAGAAGGACTGGAGCATGCTCTTTGCACAAGGCCATTTGCTTGAATTGAATCATTGTAGCCTAATCAATGGTCTTATTGGATTACTGGCTGTTGCGGTTCTCAAAGATATTGTAGCAGAGACAATGAAATAGCTAGAGTAAAACTTTTTTCTCCTTTAGTGGATCACGCAGTTGAGATTTTTCATGGGCTATCTCTCTCTCTCTCCCCCTCCCTCCCTCCCTCCCTCCCTCTCTCCCTCTTTCTCCCCCTCTCCATTTCTCCCCCCTCCTGGATCCAGTTCACACAAAGCTGGCTTTTTTTTTTCTTTTTTTTTTTTTTTTTCCCAATGAGCAGGCTCTGCGAATAGGTTCAGTGTTTGCGAAGGTGCAGAATTAGCACACACACATGCACGCACACATATACACACACACAGAGGGAGAAGCACAAAAAGCAAGTATCGGGACTGAAATAAGGAGAGGTAGGAGTTTAAGATGGCTGTCTGTGGGGAGATGTGTTAAGGAGGATTTCTGCTGGCCAAGATAACCTGCTTCCTCGGAGAGATCTGCTTGAAGGAAGAACTTTTTGTGTGTGTGCATGCTGGGGATCTGTTTGTTTGTTTAGAATTCAGGGGGCTTTTTTTTTTTTACCACCCCCCTACAACTGCATTTTTCCAGCCCTTCCTAGCAGCTTTATTCAGATTTATTTGGCGTGCTTTGGAGAAAGCCACTATATAATCGGGAGGTCAAAGGCATACTGAAGAAAGTTAATAATGGCTGCTAATGGTGCTAACAATTCAGGGTGAATCTTGTCAAAAGTTTTTTTTTTTCCCCTCTCCCCCCCCCCTTTTTTTTTTTTTTTTTTTTTTTTTTTTTTTTTTTTTTTCTGGAAGTCTCAGTCTTTTGATTGTGTGTTTCCTGAAAGCAAGACCAATCATTTCAGTTTATTCACTGGCTAAACTCTACTTGATTGGGGACAAGCACACAAACCATCCATTACGATCTGATATATTATCCAAACAATTTAGTGTATTCATGAGGTAACCTAAATGTGGAGGCTGCAAAATTACCCGTAATCAATTGAACCAGCGAGTGCGCGTCCCTCTGTGTGTCTAACAACTACATGTCTCTGTAATAAGGCAGACATTAAATCATTTTAGAGTTGTACTGTTGAGTACCTGATCACTGGGCGCTCTGGGAAGCTGGACACTCACATTAGGACGCTGCGACTGAGGAAGCCGCTGCTTTTCCAGTGGGATAAAAACCGACCTTCCTTACTCAAGGTGCTTTACAGATCCCCACCGGTCTGACCCTAAGCCGTGCAATATCCAGCGTAGACTTCGTCTTCTTCTTTTCCTTCTACTCTTCTATATTTTTTGTTGGTTTTTTTTTTTGGTTTTGTTTTTGTTTTTATTGCACTACATGTTTGGGAAACAAGACAAAATGGACGTTAGATGCAGTTCAGAGACTGAAGCTAACCGAGTCTCGAAGAACGGACATAAAGAGGGCAAGGAAAGCAAAGGGTCTGAAGGAAATATTTCTACTTCTTTTTTGAAGGACCAGCAAGGGACTTTTTCTGCCTCTGCAGCTACGGAAGATTGTAACAAAAGTAAATCTAGTTCGGCTGATCCGGACTATTGCAGGAGGATCCTAGTTAGAGGTACGAGTCTGAGGTATTTCGCGAGGGTGGGGGAAGGTGAGCTCCGTTCACGAGTTGTTTATTTTCTTGCTTCGCCTTTGCTCCGTTCCCGGGCTGAAGACCTTCCCGCGGCGCCGGGGGAGAGGTCCCCGCCCTGGCCGGGCTCTGCCCTGCACCCCGCTCCAAGCCCGGCTTTATTTCGGCGAATTTCCCCCGGCGGCTCGGGGGAAAGTTAAGCCGCGGCGGCTCCTGCCCGCCTTTGCCCCGCACCGGGCCA